TCTCTCTCCCTCTTGCTTTCCCTTCTCCCCTCCCTCCGTATCCCTCTTTCCCTTCAGGTCAGTGGCCAGACCCCTCCTGGAATAGTGGGGGGCAATAGCTCTCTTATTAAAGGCTCACCAGCAGTCCCCACTTGGGTCTCCTGCTGAGAAAGGGCTTCAGTCCTGCCCTGTCTAGGAACCTGGGAAGAACAGCCACTGTCCAGCACACCTGTCCTCTGCAGCATGCAGATTCCATGATGGTGTCCTCAGGCTGCCTACCCCCGGGCCGGGGTGAGCACAGGACCGTTATCTCCTAGCCAGGTCATGTGAGATGGCGGAGGGAAAGGACTTCCTGTGAACCCCTGGCCAGCCTGGCTCGAGTTGTCCAAGGGGGGATGGTGCTAGAGGCCTGGCCTGGACAAAGGGGCCTTAGAAGGGCCAGTTCCTCCCTGAGCCCGGAGGAGGTAAGCCGCAGCAGAGCCCCTTTCTCCTGGCCCCGGGAGGGCAGCCGCCCTGCAGACACGTCCACTGTGGGCTCCCCAGCCTACAGAGCCCCACCAGGCCCTGCCTGCTGAGTCCCAGTGGGTGACAGCTTGGTGTCTGATGCAGTCTGCCTCCTGGGCGCAAGCTGGGCCCCCTCCAACCTCCTGGGTGTGACCGCACAGCCAGGTCCCCATGAACATGGGGCTGCCACGGCCTGGCTCCTGCTCACCTCCCTCTCTCTCTGCCTTTCCATCTCCGCTGCCCATGGTGACACTGGGGGCACCACCTGACCCTGCCCACCCAGCTCTCAGCACGCCCTCCCTCCAGCCGCCCTGCTCAGGGCACACCACACACATCTCCCCTGGGCAGCCCAGGTCTGGCACCCTCTGCCTGAGCCATGTGCCCTGCCCCAGCACCCTGCTCCTGCCACCACCAGCTCCCCCTCCTCTTCAGTAACTCCCTAACTCCCACATTTACAGACCAGCTATTCCAGAACGTTCCAGAGCACCCCAGGCTGGCGGCCGCTCCCTGGGCGTGCCTGCAGCCCCCACTCTCCCCCTCAGCACTCCTCGCCTGATGCAGGGCCCCCATCGGCTCCCACAGCTGCCACTCCTCCCGCATCACAGTCATCCAGGGGACAGCTGGCCACCCTGCCCCACTTGCATTGGAGAAACTGAGCCACAGGGACTTGGTCACTGGCCCTAGGTTTGGCAGGTTCACAGGTGGAGTGGGCAGTCTGGCCAAGTGCTCTCTCTCCAGTGACATCACTCTGAGCAGGACCCGTAGTGTCCCCGTCTCCCTCCTCTCCAGTGGGGGGGACCCTCCCGAGAGGACCCTCCCTCTTTCCACCTGACACCTGTCCAGAGCTGACTCAGTGTGGGAGCCCCGTGGTGCATCTGCATCCACATGAGGGTCAGGAAGAACCTTCCAGACCAGGATGGAGCCAGAGTCCCCCGGGAGGCTACTGGAGCTCCCCACTCCTGGCCCCCGGAATCCTGAAACCCAGACTTGGCTCCTAGAGCAGGCTCACATCAGAGGGGCCTTCGAGCCCCGAGGCGACTCCTGAAGCTGAGAGGAGACCTCGGCGGTGGGGAAGCCCCAGAGACCCCCGAGGCCTGCGGACGTACCCTGCCCCTCCGCATAGGCCCCAGCGCTCCGCCTGGCCAGCCTAGGGAGCACACGCTCTCCCAATACGTGGCCTGGCCACAGACCACTCCACGGCTGGAGGACTTGCGCAGCTGAGGTGGGGTGCCGGCCAACCCACCCCACAGCAGATCTGCTCACTGGAGGGTGGGAGTCACCCCTGGGAAAGCCAGGGAAAATGGGGTACTCCCTGGCCCAGAGGCAGGAGACAAATCCATGTGACCAGCCCCACAGGGCGGGGTTGGTGGTGGGAAGCAGCAGGATGGCCTCCCGTGGCCAGCAGGGAGGGCCGGTGTGGCCCAGCTTAAAAGGCCTGTCCCTGCCCAAGCCACCAGCAAAGCTAGGACCCCACAGCTACTGTCAGGATCCTGGCCCTGTGCAGGCCGTGGCCACATATGCAGGGGGTGGCCTGAGATGTGCCACGGCTTCCCCGAGGCCTCCAGGTTACTGTCCAGGTCTCCAGGGCGTCGCGTGGGGAGCAGCCCACGGCCCTAGAGTGACCTGTACGTGGCTGTCCGTGGACTTGGATTTTTCAGAGGCCCCCAGACCTGTCTTCCCTGGGTGCTGAGTGCTGAGTGGGGCATCCAGGATCATCCAAGACCAGCCATCACCCACGACCGTCCCCTCGAAGAGCAGGAAGGATGGCAGGACTCTGAGACTTCTCACCCAAACCAGGACTTGACCAGTAATTAAGCTGGGACCAGAGGCACAGAAGAGACTCCTGCTGACCCTCCAGCTACGACAGAGGAGTTAATGTGAAATCTAGCTACTCCCGGCCGGCGCCACGGGGAAGAGCCTTTTACACAAATATCTGTCACGTTTGCCGCACACACGTGTGACTCAAGGCATGCCACTGTGAATGTGGCGGGCATGTTCTGCTCCGTGTTGTCCCCAGCGGCCAACACCTTCCCTAAATGGATTTAGGAGGCCAGTTGGCACCTACCTTGCCTGCCCCACCCCAGGGAGGGGCCGGGGCTGGGGGAGCACAATGGGGTGCTGCCAGCAAGCCCACATCCCCCCCAATGTCAATTATTTCTCACAACTTCGGAAGAGCGGAGAAGTCCCAGGTCACGCGGCATCGTCACCCACAAGCCATTTCTTTTGCAGCTAGCAGGGCTCCTGCAGAAACGTGTGTGAGTCCTGTGGAGGGTAGAGCCGTCTGGGTGAGAGACACTGGGGGACAGCCGGAGCCAGCAAAGCAGCTCTGCCTGCACCCACCGCACGGCTGGGCGGGCTCACGCGGGATGTCCCGCAGGCCGGTCCCACCCCGTTGGTTAAGGCACTTTGTTTCACAATCCCTCTGACAGGCCCCAATCTCCTCATTTCCCTGTTGGAACACGTCGCATCGTCGCATTGTGTCTTGTTAGGATCCTGCCTTTCCTTCCCTGCACGAGGTCTCTGCACGGACTCTTAGTGCACATTAGTTTTTAATGGCTGTAATATTCTTTCGAGTGGATAAACCACAGGTTACTTAAACATTCCCCATGTTCAGGCACTTGGGTTTCTTCTAATTATTTTGCTACAAATATGTATTTTTGTGTTTTGCATTACTTCCTCGGGACAGCAGCCAAGCAATTAACTTGCCCGTCTTGGGGGGGGCTTTCTAGAAGTGTGGTCACGTGGCCGGCTGCCTGCTCCCAGGAGTCCCTGCCTGCCCCAACACAGCCCCCCAGGCTCAGCCACCAAACACGCAGCTTCCAGCCCAAAAGCACACTGTGGACATCGGCACATTTCAGTGTCTGTCCCCATGTTAATAAGAGGAGAATTTTGTCGTAATGTGCATTTCCGTTATTACCAGGGAGGGAACACGTTCCTCCACAGTCTCTTCCTGGCTGCATGTGGATCGCGCAGCTGTGGGCTTTGGTCAGTGTCTAGTTGAGGCCGGGCGTTGCTGAGGACCTTTGTGAACTCGTCCCGCACTAACGATGCCCGCCCTTAGCGTGTTCTCCCCACACGACAGCGGCTCTCCTGGGCACACAAAAATATATATTTGTAGAAAAATAATTAGAAGAAACCTCTCTCTCATCTGCCATATGCAAAAGTTTCCAGTCTCCTGTGACCAGCTGCCATTTCATCTATTCTTCTGGTTTTAAATGCACCCCCCACCCCATGTCTTGCTCTTTGGTTCTCTTTGGCTCTGGATTCCCTGCTTCTGATGGGTGTTTTACCATCATCCGGGCACTGTCAATCCAGGGTCACGTGAGCACCTGCCAGGAGCAGCGCCCATGGCCGGCTTCAGCTCATGGTGCAAGAGGGGGTTGGAGGGGCACCTCCCGCCTGCAGACATGGGGGTTGGAGAGCAGCGCTCCTGGGTGGGGCCCGGGGCCGGGAAGTCCCCACGCGGTCCCTCCTGGAGGGCTTTCTTCTCCCACGTCCCTGTATTGGTTCTCAATCAGGGACCGCCCCCCCCCCCCGGGACGTTTGGCCATCTCTGGTTGTCACAACAGGAGCAAGGCAGGGGCACCCAGTGGGTGCAGGGTGGGGATGCCACTTGAGATCCTACAGGGCACAGAACACAGCACAGCCCATGCCCCAGGACACAGAATCGCCCAGCTCCTAAGGTCACTGTCTGGAGGTTAAGACGTCCTGCTTTAGGCTAGATGGCATCTTCCCGGGAGAGGCCACTATGGCTATGCTGGACAAGGGCCCAGTGTCGGCCCGTCAGTCCTGCCGTGCGGTTCCGCCCTCCCTCCTTGATGGCACTGGGCAGCAGCACACACACAGTCACCTGCCAGCTTCCCTTGCAGCTAGATGCTGCTGTGCCCGGCTCTGAGCTGTGAGCAGTGACAGGGGCAGCTTCAGGGGCAGGATCAGCAGTCTGTTGCCACTCCTGCCTCCTTCTCCTGGGCCCTAGGATGTGATATTGGAGCTGCAGCCCCCATTTTGCGCCATGATGTGGCTTTGGAACTGCAGGCTCCGTGGCTCAGTGCACCCACAGGACTGAAGCAGCCTGGCCCCTGGGAGCTCCGAGGAGCACAGCCCACTCCGGCCCTGGATTGCCCACCCCAGGCCCGTGGGAAGGGAAGACAGGGCCTCTCTGGGCCACGGCTGTTCTGAGTCTCTGTGACTTGCCACTGAGCTTCAACGTTGTGAATGTGGATTGGAAACCTTTGAGGAGGTTTCTGATAAATTCCAACAGGAAGCTGAGAGGATTAAGCAGAATAAAATGTGCAGATTTCCTAAGTGATCACGGAGCACCCGGCAGGACTGATAGCCAACTCGCTGAGCTGCGGCAAGCCCTGCCACATGGCAGGCACCGGGCCTCACAGCTCACCCAGTTCCTAATCCCCAAGGGACCCCCAGCAGAGCTGTCCCTGATCCCTGTTAGGAAAGAGGCAGCTGAAGCACAGAGACCGTCCACCACTTGCCACCGTCACCGCTCGCGGGCAGGGAAGAGCTGGCCCCTGCATTGTGTCCTCACCTCAACAGACTGAAGCCCTAGACTGGGGAGGCACTTGGGGTCCAGCTACCAGAGATCAAGCTCCCTTTGCCTGGTGGTCTTGCTAATGGCTGCTGCAGCTCCAGCTACTGTATCTGCAATCCAGCAGACATTTGAGTACAGGTAAGGTCTTTGTGGTGGCATGTGGGTTGCCACAAGGAATTGAGGCACAAAAAAGCCAAGAGATCTGTCCAGCTTTGCACATTGAATGACCGGCCAAGTGGGACCCTGACCCCAGTGGTCTGTATGCTTAGCCTCCAAGCAGAGCTGCCTCCAGTGGACGCCACTGAACCCAGGCGGAGAGCAGAGGGACACCAGCTCCGGTCGTGACTGGGTGAGTGGCAGGAGGACCTGCCTGCCTCCCACGGACTGCTCAGACCCACACCAGTCTCCATCATAGGGGGGACACGAGGCTCAGGAGGCCCAGACGGGCCTCAAGTGTGGAGGTCAGGAAGAGGTCGAGACTAAAGCCAGACACTGCCCTCCTGCTCTCCCTCTGCTCCATGCTGCGCACCCACTGAACCCCAAACGGCACAGACTTCTCCTTGGCCCAGTGTCTCCCTTCTGGGCTTTGGCTGACCAGGCCCAGGAAGCCTGGGTCCTCACTGGCCTGCAGCCCCCTGCCTGGCTATCCCCCTCCTCCCTGTCCCACTGCACCTCTGTGCCCACCCCCAGGAGCCCCTGTCTCGGCTGCAAACAGTGGGAAGTTGAACCCTTTGCTCGTGTCCAGAAAGAGAGGAGAGGGGCACCCTCTTTCCTAGGGTGGTCAGGGAGGGCTCCCTGGGGGAGGTGAGTTCGATGCTCCTACCTGCAGGGGAGAGGGAGGTAGGCCTGAGGCCAGAGGCTCCACACCCTGCTCGACCCGGCCACCCTGGAGCAACCAGCTTCCTGGGCCCAAGGAAGGGGCTGCGGCCAGGGTAGGTGGCCCATCACTCGAACTGCTGCCAGTTCATTTGGGTCGTTAGCACCTAAAGAGGGTGTAAAAGTGACTTACGAGCTGAAATCAGGTGCTCGGGCATAAACACGCCAGGCCCATGATTGATTTGACTGGGTAAATAGCTTTTATAATTGGTATGTTTTTTATTAAATTTTAAAGGCTGCATATTTATGTGGGAAAGAATCGAGGGCATGTTGAGACGGGCGTGCTGGAGCCTTAGGGCCTGCTGGCCTCCCTGCTGGCCGAGGCCCAGGACTGTAAAGTGGGCTTCTGCTGGTTGGGCCCCCAGGACCCCGAGGACCCAAGGGAGGAGGGGCTTGATTGCTTAATTCTGTTTGGTGGCTTGGGTCGGTTCCCAGACAGGGAGGTGACTCTCAGTTGGCTTCCAGCGTCGGTTCCAGAGGTCTAGAGAGAAGCGGGGCAGCGGGAAGAAGGGGGCAGCGCCTGCTTCCCGCTGACAGAGCCCCACCCACCTCCTCCCCGAGACTGCCCTGCCCAGGACCCACAGCTCAAGGCCACAAGGTGGAGGTGGAGGCTAAGTGCTGGGTCCCCTGGAATGGCAGGACCCCTCTTAAACTCAGGAGGCACCTCAGCGGGCATCATTAGGAGTCACCTGCCCAGAGCAAGTGAGCGCAGAGAGTCCCTGGGGTGCAGAATGCCCTGACCCATGTGCAAGGAACTCACTGTCCCCAGAGAAGGGAGGAGTGCTCGAACCTGAGTCTCAGTGTGTAGAGGGGCTCCTTAACCAGACCCCCACCACCACAGCCCCCAGCTTCCAGGCTGGAGCAGATCAAGCTGATTAGTGCGCAACCAGGAGCAGGGCTCAGTGTGTGACCAGGAGTAGGGCTCAGCCAAGGCTCAGTGTGCAACCAGGAATAGGGCTCAGTGTGTGACCAGGATCAAGGTTCCACCAAGCCTGAGTGTGCAACCAGGAGTAGGGCTCAGTGTGTGACCAGGATCAAGGCTCTGCCAAGGCTCAGTGTGTGACCAGGAGTAGGGCTCAGTGTGTGACCAGGATCAGGGCTCTGCCAAGGCTCAGTGTGCAACCAGGAGTAGGGCTCAGTGTGTGACCAGGATCAAGGCTCCACCAAGCCTCAGTGTGCAACCAGGAGCAGGGCTCAGTGTATGACCAGGATCGGGGCTCAGCCAAGGCTCAGTGTGCAACCAGGAGCAGGGCTCAGTGTGTGACCAGAATTAGGGCTCAGCCAAGGCTCAGTGTGCAACCAGGAATAGGGCTCAGTGTGTGACCAGGATCAAGGTTCCACCAAGCCTCAGTGTACAACCAGGAGTAGGGCTCAGTGTGTGACCAGGATCAAGGCTCTGCCAAGGCTCAGTGTGCAACCAGGAGCAGGGCTCAGTGTGTGACCAGGATTGGGGCTCTGCCAAGGCTCAGTGTACAACCAGGAGCAGGACTCAGTGTGTGACCAGGATTGGGGCTCCGCCAAGCCTCAGTGTGCAACCAGGAGTAGGGCTCAGTATGTGACCAGGATCGGGGCTCCATCTACACCCCTATAGAGCTCACTTCCTTATGCTTACCCCTTTGCCTCTGTTGGGGCCTTTGAGAGATGGGGGCCTACGGGAGGTGGGCTTCTCAGTTTTCCAGTGTGAATTAGGTCTGAGAACTGAGACACCAGCAAGATGCTGGCCAACTGTCCCCCGTGCAGCAGGGCTGAGCCCAGGTACCCCTCGTTGACGCTCGGGCCGGCATGTGTGGACAGCTATGGCCTCTCGCACTTGCTCCCAATCCTGGCTTCTCGTCTAAGCCTCAGCAAACTTCCTAAGCAGGGCTGAGCCTCTGTCCATCCCAGGAGCCTCTGCGGCCAGAGGCAAGCCTGCGGGCTGGGAAGCCCCCACCTCCTGCCCGGGCTCTAGAGTGGGGAGGGCAGCAAGAGGGACTCATCCGCCAGGAGCCCCCCTGCCAGACGGGGGAGGGCCCGAGGCTCCCTGCCTGACGGGCCCTTCCTCCCCTCCTCTCGTGCCAGAGGCCAGGAGGGCAAGGCCCTGACTCCACGGTGTCGAAGTTGTACCCGACTCAGCTCAGGAGCTCACATTGTGTCTGTTTGTCGGTTTGTACTGGGGATTGAACCCCAGGGCTTACCCACTGAGCCACATCCTCAGTCCTTTTATTTTTTATTTTGAGACAGGGTCTCACTAAGTTGCTGAGCCTGGCTTTG